AGGGTTTTTTTTGCAAAGTCAATTTTTCATAGGGTTGTTTTCTGTTCAATTACATCACCTTTATCTTTACATACTGTTTGTATGAAGATTAAAACACTGATATATCCAAAAAACTTTACATGGGGTGTACTTGTGGACTTACTTTTTCACATGATGGGGTGCGTGTGTGTGTTTGTGTGTGTGTACCCTACTCATGATTAAATTAGCATGCATTATGCAAAATGTTTGCATTACTTTAAAAAAGCTTAATCATTCAAATTTGTACCATTTCAATTTTAACTGTACTCTGCTCCTAAACTCTGAACAGCTTCAGGCATTAGGTTTATACCATTGTTTAACAAGTGAATTACAGAGGTTGCAGGACTTGCTAATTTTCACAAGTCTGTTTCTCAGAAGCAAGAGAGCTATAGGTAGTAACTCTATGCAGACCTCTGGGATTCAAACAGAACAGCATTCATTCTATGTCAAGAGGGATTTAAAAACATCCAAAATGCAGTGTTTGTGCTTAACCTAGAGGGAGTGGATTTTATGACAGAGGTCTTATTAGGTACCTGAGAGCATTTAGAAGGCCTTCTACACTGTTTGGAGGCTGGTCTTTGAGAACTTTGATGCATCCTTTCATCTAGAGCGTAATAGAAACAGAAAAACAAAATAAAGTATTTCAAAGTATGTCTAGACATGATGCAATAATTCCATACCTGTAATTTCAGCTTATTTATTAATACAAGTATTTTCAGGAAATATCCAATCTTCGTGTCAGTGTAAGTCACCTCAATTCTTGGGATGACAACTTGAAAAAAAATTGCTGTGGCCATCACCAAAAAAAAAAAAAAAAATTCAAGGAAATTGTAGCATAAATGCCATCTTTTCTCAAGCTCAGTCTAGTTGTGCACTTGGAGAGATTCATGCATGTAAACTGATCCTAAATTATCCCATCTATTATCTAAATTAAATTAACCCGTCTATTATCTAAAGCAGTACTCTGAATGCTACATAACCCCTCTGTTGTTCAAAGTCTTTTGTAAGAAGAAAAAATGGAGGACAGCCAAAAAAAACCAAAACAAAAAAACCCAGTGTGGTTATACAAAAAATGTAATGAAGATCTAAAGCAATAAAGAACACACAGGAAATAGTCACAAAAGGAGAATCTAGACAGGTAGCCTGAAACAGCAGAGCTGGGCTCATGAAAATAAAAACTCAAAATGAGATGAAGCCAGCACAGAACATTAGGAATAACAGAAAGAATATGGATCTGGATTTTGGAATATGGATCTGGATTTTGGACATATTGGATATGTTCAAAATAAAAGGAAAAGGAAAAAATCAACATATTAGCTGTTCAGTGAAGATGGTATCATGCTAACAGGTGATAAAAAGCAGAGCTATTCCTGTTCTGATTCCATCTTTTCTAACAAAATCTACCTGTTCCACCAGGAGATTGTGAAGAAAAAGATGAAGGGACAGGAATAAAATTTGAGACTGACAAAAATACAGTCATGGAATACCTCTTTATTTTGAATGAGTTTAAATTTCCAGGACCAGATAAACCGCATCCCAGAATACTGAAGGATCCACCCTGGCCAAACATTTGGGTATTATTATTAGAATCCCTGAAGAACTTGAAATGTCCTTATCTTCAGAAAGAGGAGAAAGGAAGATCCAGAAAAATATAGACCTGTCAGTTTGACACCAATGCCTGGGAAGATGCTGGAGCAAGTAATAGATCTGTTCGTAAGTACTTTGAAAATAATGCAGTAATTACTAGAAGTCAACACGGATTTGTTAAGAACAATTCTTGCCAGATCAACTTTATCCCATTTTTGATCAAATAACTTCCCTAATAGATCATGGGAAGACTGCAGATAAAATATTGATTTTAGCACTGATCCTTGTGGCACCCCACTTGAATCTTTCTCCAATTTGATGAGCTGACTATGATTATTGAGTTAGCTATTTATCCACTTAATTGGCATGCTTTCCAGACCATACTTAACTAGCTCCTAATCAGCACATTTTAGGGAACTCTGTGAACTGCTGTTCCCTACTAATCAATACTTCAATTAATGACTTGAAGAGGTGTAGAGAACACTTCTCCCATTTGCAGCTGATACAAAATTGGGTAGGATAGTTCATAACCTCAGAAGACAGAAATAAAAGTTCAAAATGAGTTTGATAGGCTGGAAAAGTCACCTGAAAGTACAGTGCTGTGAAAAAGTACTTGTCCCCTTTCAGATTTTTTAAAAAGCTAATTCAGTGGCGAAGATATGCAAAACTTCCAAAAATCTGAAAGGGAGGAAATACTTTTTCACAGAATTGTAAAATGAAATTTAACAGTGTCAAGTTCTTCACTTAGGAAGCAAATTTCAAATGTACAAGTATAGGACTGGAACATTTATGAAAAAGATCTTGGAAAAGTTGTGGATTGCAAACTCAGTTTGAGACAGTAGCCTGATGTTGCAATAAAGAACACAAATTAGGCTGCATCAACAGAAGTGTAATTGCCAAATCACAGGAAGTAATAATTCCCCTTTATTCCGCTTCAGTCAGATCCCACTGGGTGCAGTTTTCAGGATTCAGAGATTGGAACAGACTCAAAGAGGCACAATTAAGGATGAACAGGGGAGTATAAACTTATGAGAGAGAATAAAGGAGGCAGGTATGATCGCCCTTGAGAAAAGACATCTGAGGGTCATTTGATAGCCCTCTTCAAATACTGGAAAGACTGTCACATAGAAAGGCAGGATCTGACTCTCTCAGTTCAGAGTGGAAGATATGGAATAACGGATTAAAGTTACAGGGAAGCAGATTGCAACTTTCCAGCTGGAAAAGATCCAGGTAATTTGCTTCATCTGGAGCTGAGTGCCTTCCACACTCACAACAACCTTCCCTAAAAAGGAAAGACTGGATGAAAGTTATCCAACACTGTTGGGTCCAACGTTTAGGTGCTGACCCATTGCCTGGAGGCTATGAGGGTCTGGATGGGGAGGAACTGGTTCCAATTCAACCCTAGAAAGACAAAATGGCTTTGGGGTCCCCCCCCATCTGATGAGGTGTCATCTTTGATTCTTGATGGGGTAGCATTCCTCCGGGCAGAACTGGTGCACAATGGCGTGTGTGTGTGTGTGTGTGTCTTCCTAGATTCACCCTTCTGCCTGAGGAGCAGATAGTAGCCATGGCTAGGGGGGATTCATCTTGTGTGCCAATTGCATCCATTTCTGGACTGGGAGGCCTTGCTCACAGTCACTCATGCCTTGGTCACTTCCCAGTTGAATTATTTAACACACTCTATATGAGGCTGCCCTTGAAGACCATGTGGAAATTATAACTGGTACAGAATGCCGAGGCATGCCCCTCACTTTTCTCGTATTACACCACTGCTAAGTGAGCTGCATCGGCTTCCAGTTTCTTTCCAGGTGCAGTTCAAGGTTCCGATTATCACCTTTAAAGCCCTGAATGCCACAGGGCCAGACCACTAGTGGTACAGCCTCTCCCTGAAGGTATCTGCCCATTCTTCCACATCAGACAGGGTGGCCATCTAACGACACCTAGGAAGCCCACCTTCTCCATAGCAGCCCCTGCCCTGTGGAATACCCTCCCCTGTGAGATCCAGCAGGCTCCTACCCCTCTATCCTTCCAGAAGGCCTTGAAGAGCTGGGTCTTCTTGCAAGTGTTGGGGTGGGGTAAGAATGGAGCCCAGCGAATGGGATTGCTGATGTATTGGGGAGTGTGGTTTTAGAGCTCCAGGAGATGTTTTCGGATGCTGATTTTACTTTTTTCTTTTATATTTTTATTGCTGTTTTTGTGAGCTGCCCTGAATTATGGTATATAAGATAGGTGGCTATATAAGTCTCTTAAATAAATTAAATAAATAAACACAATTTTAGAAAAGACTTCCTTATGGTAGAAGCCATTCACCAATGGAAGTAATTACTCAGGGAGGTGATGGGGTCCCCTTCACTGGAGGTGTTAAAGTGGAGGCTACAGCCACTTGTCTGGGATATTTTAATTGGATTCATACACTGATCACAATGGCCTAAATAGCTCCTTCCAACTCTATTAACCAACCCTAAACTCCCTCCCATTGCCCTCACATGCAGTCAACAATGAGAAGGAACATTTTAACTATCCAAACACAGAACTTACATCAATTTTTGAAGTTTTTGCAAAAGCACCCACCGGATGCACGTGGTCGTAGAGGATTATAACACCCACCATTACCCTCAGACAGAATGATACTGTCTCCTCATTTGTGAACCGGCTTCTGTATTCCCTGGAGGTACAACACACAGCACAGAAGAAGTTTGATTACCAAAAGCTAAAATGAGCTCCCACTTTTAACAAGCTAGCAGGTTCAGCTCAGTATTTTCCCAAAATATAATCTGCATTTGTGATGAGTGATGGTATGACAGCCACTTATGGAAAGGTCACAAGTTAAGCTTCTCAAGTAGAAAATTCAACCATCGTATCAGTTCTTGTCGGGTGAATCCAGCAGAATCTATGGCAGCCCTGACTCACCCCCTGAACTTTGCTTTGATATTGCTCTCAAAGAAAAAAGCTGCCTCTGCGAAACAAGGCTTCAACTTTACACAGACTGTACTCTAGGCAAAACAGACAGTTCTTACACTTTTTTTGAATTATGTAGGAGGTGAAAACATTTAGAAAACTACCGGAGACCTTGGAACGCATCTCCAGTGTTGAAATATTTAACAGTATTCCCACAAGAAATTAAATGGAGAGCTACCCTTAAACTAAGAGAATTTCAAAATTGAAAGTGCCAAGATCTTTCTAGGAAGAATGTGTCTTTTAACTGGGTACTAGGTCTACTGGAAGAACTAGGAAAACAGTCCTTATTTCCCCTATGGTCATCCCCTGTCAGGAGAGGGCAGAGGTAAAATGTATCTTGTGGTTCTATTTGAGCACTGCTCAGGCCTCACCAAGGACCCACAGAATCATTGGCAGAACCGTTCCACAAGGCCACATATCCCTGCCCCCCTGTGATTCCTGCCTCTGACAAATCTCATACAGAATCCCTGATCCTCTTACCACAATGCTTGGAAAAACAGATCAAACCAAAAGAAGGAGCAGCATTGTTTCCTACTCATCCTTTTGGAAAATGTGAGGTTATAAAACCACTGGAGAAAGAGACCAAAATACAGACAACATGCCAAACACTGGTTTCTCTCTCTGTGTTTATTATGGTTGGGAAAAGATCTGCCACACAGCTTCCTTCCCCATTCCTACTCTAAAAACAACTTCTGGGCTGAAAGCATTCCTTGGGGAGAAGAGAGACCTTACTTAAGGAAAGCAGCCTCAGCCCCAGCCTTTACACTACATGATGCAACAACCTCAGCTGTTGGGTGCGGGATGGGGGGAGAAGATTGCCGCTCTGCAATCTTCTCTCATTTTCGAAAGAGTCTGGCTAGTTTAATACGACTGCAACTTTGTTCCCCCCCCCACCCCCCCCAGAGGCCAGGATAAAATCATTGGCTGATTTTACTCTTCCTCCTTTTACCGATTTTAATTTCTTCCAGTCTTACAATTTTACTTGTACTTATAGATTCACCATAATGATGATTCTTACCTATTGAAACAACCTATTTTAGGTTAATTGAAGATTTACAAAATACTTCTCAGGTTCTTTGTCAGGCAAGAAAGTTAAAATGGGGAAGGGAGGGAGGGAAAGTAAAGAGTTTCCAAACATGTAAATTAGGCTTTAAAAGGTACTAAAGTAATGCCAACTTTTATCAAGGATTCTTCCAAAGCTTTCTGGGAATAAAAAGCCAGCATGTAATAGTTGCTCCCACACTGGTTAAAATCAAAATGGGTTCTATCCTTTGTGGAATAGGTGGAAAATACAACTGGTATTAACATTCTTATATGAAAAGTAAAGTTTCCTTTGAGCTGAGCTGGGTATCTAGTAGCTTCACCAACATGTCCATGTAGCTTTCTTGGGAACAATATGGAAGTGGGTCTGCCACTGCATCCTTCTGCTTTTGGTTGGTTGGTTTTGTTTTTTGACTTCCCAAACTAGCCTACGCCTCTGGTATTCCCCACCCAAATACCAACCAGACCTGACCCCACTTAGCTTTTTGAGTTCAGCCAGGGCCAGTTCAGCACAGCCACCTATCTGTGATATGACTGAATAAAAAAACATTTCCACATTCTCCTCTCTCCTTGGTTTAGGCCCCAGGCATATTGGTTTTTAGCAACGATTATGTTTGAAGTAGCCATTCTACTTACGGGGTTTCCAGCATGACTCTGCAAACACTGGCCATAGTGCTTAAGCAATCTGTGGTGTTTTCTATAGGTAAATTCTTGTTCTGTGAACAGGCAACAAGGAAGAAAAGTTACTGAAATGCAATAGGGACCATAGTTTTTCCCTCACCTTTCCTAATGAGGATCTGCAATAGCAATAATAATGGTAATGATGACACAGCAGTTAACTGAGCAACTTCTCACAATTTTAAATCATGCAAGACGTGTAGGAGGAATACTAAGAGATTCTGCAGTCTAACAGGTTTGCACTCCTCATGGGGCTGCCCCTGAAGAGCATCCCAAAGCTTCAGCTCATGCAAAATGCAGCAATGTGGACAGTTATACCTCTGCTCCGTGAGCTGCACTGGTTGCCAGCTTGCTTCCAGGTGCAATTCAAGTTGCTGTGTTTGACCTTTAAAGCCCTACATGGCATGAGACCATATTATTTGAGAGACTGCCTCTTCCTGGTTACATCTACCCATCCATCAGGTCCAGCAGAAGAGCTATGCTCCGGGTCCCGTCTGCTGGCAAGACCCAGGAGATGTGCCTTCTCTGCTGTAGCCCCCACCCTCTGGAACATTCCTGAGGTGAGGTTAGCCCCACCTCTGTTAGCCTTCCGGAAAGCCTTGAAAACAGGGTTCTTCCATCAACCCTGGGGATCCCTTGGTGAGACTGCAAAGTCACTGTATGAGACTAAATGATGGTTGTTCTCCTGCTTCTTTTATGTTTTCATTTTTTATTTTTGGTGTTACTTATGCTTGATGTTGTTTATATTGTGATATGTTTTTAATTGTTATTCTGCTTGTAAACCACCCAGTGTCACTTTTTGTGAGATGAGCGGCTATATAAATTTGCTAAATAAATAAATAAATAAAATTTCCTGAACATTATACAATTCTTGCTGTCCAAGAAGAATTACAAGACTAAAATTCATAATATTGACAAGGTTTGACACCTCCCCTCCCTCGAAACCCAACAACAAAGATTTACGCAAATCAGTAACATAATGCATAATCATTTACCAAAGCAATCTGTATTAATAGAAATCTATTCATACACATACCTCCGAAACAAATTTTGTTGTGGCATCACTTAAGGTTTTCAACATTGGTGTCGCCTCAGCATAAAATAAAGACATTCTGTTGGCCAATTCATTGTTTACTTCATTTTCCCCTTCTGCCTAGCAAAAGTTAAAATAAATGTTTGCATAATTGAATTCATTAAACAGGTAAGGACAAGAGAATACGGTGAGTCATTTTCCTCACTTCTATGTAAAGTTTACCTACTGGGACATTGTTGATTCTCATACGACTTAAGGTTCTTCTGTAATAACTGAAATCATTCTGAATTGCAGGATTTGTCATCTAAAAAGAAAGACAAGATGAAGATACCAACGACCTCATCACACAACTGTATACAAGCCTAGGCAACACAGACTCTCATACCCCAAAATGGCATCCACAGAACCTCCAATAAAATAAAATACTTAAAAAATTGCCAAATCTTGTGAGATTTCAGGATCCTCATGTGATAATACATGAAATTTAGGGGGAGAATGTGCCAACTCATGAGGCAGAGGACTCCTGAAATCATGTTTAAAATTTGGTGATCTTGTGAGATTTTGGTTCTACTCTACTCTATGTTATTATTTTCTTTTAGTTATTTATATGGCTGCCCAACATGAACACTACAACTCTTGGTGACTTACAATCTAATTATTGCAATTTTATTGCGTGAAATGCCCCAAAGGGTTGCCAACATCTGCCTTAATTCAGAGTTTCAAAATTGTAAAAGGTGGAGAAATTAGATAACATAGCATTTCAAGCCAAAGTCACTTCAGTAACATTGATGATAATGGTTTAGGACCTAATCGTATATAAAACTTAGACAATTGGACTAAAATATAAATATGCACAGATAAAAGATGACTCTGGGATATGACAATCAGGATTATCAGCTTTCTTCTTCTTCCTCTGAAGACTTCCATAGGTTGCACTGAGGTGAGAGACAGGATGCAGAATTAGAATGGCTCTGATTTGATTCAGAAGGGCTCTTGTTTATACCCTTAATGTTGATTGTTTATATTCTTAAAGTGGATTAATAACTTGACTCCCCTAACAAAAAGTTAACTTGTAATATGAATGTTCTAAAAGAATCTGTTAGAGATCTGGCATTTCTGCAAAAGGCAGAAAGAGACAGAAAAACATTTAAGTACCTCCCTATTTGCTTTAAACAAAATCTGAAGGGAGACCAAATGTCACAGTCAGTACTGTAACTTGGTGATCAGCCAACTGTACAAGAGAATTCAAGAATTACTGTGTATTTACCTTCAGCTCATCAAACCGAAGCGTGAAATGAAGGATTTCTGCAAACTGTTTAGCAAGAGCCTGCTCTCGCTCCAGGTGCTGTGTGGGAGAATATGGAGTGCTTGTCAGGGCCCCAAGGAGACCTCGTAAAGCAGCTTCTATTTTGGGGGTGGAGAAAAGACAGACAGGTATATATCAAACACTGGGAACACGTTGAATATCTTGGTACAATGAACAAAAACAGGGTGCAGTTCAAGCATGACAAAATCCTAGGTGTTGGTCTGCTGTCTAAACAGTCATGTTTAAACTTCCTCAAAAAGAAAAAGAAAGAAAAGGGAAAAGAAAAAGAAAAACAGGTTGTTGCCTAATTGCAGACAACACTAAAAATTTACAACTCAAATAAACCAACAGCAAGTTTTAAAAATTATGTATAGGTGGTATATTATTCTTATAAGTCATCTCCAATCATCTGTCATACTAAACTGGCTTTTAGGGCTTTGAGTTCTAATCTAAACTTGCGCACAGCAGCGATATATAAATTTGTTAAATAAAATAAAATAAAATAAAAACTATGAAATATTACAGGCATCTATTGGCTAATGCTCTTACCTAGCCTCTGAGAAAATTCATAGAATTTCTTTAGTTTGCCCACTAGGGGGACGACTGCACCCCACGCCTTCTCTTGCAGCCTCTCGTCTGTGGGATGCTGTATTGCCTGGAAAAAAGGAACCGCAACTGTGCATTTCATAAATAGGGGAATTCCTCTTTACCTCCCCACCCTTCTTTGCATTATCTGATGACAAAACAAAGGGATCATTCTGTGTGTCCTGTATACATTCTGGGGAGAAAGAGAGATATATTGAAATTTTCACTATACACAAATCATACTATGGCAGTGTTGTCCAAACTTGGCCACTTTAAGATGAGCTTCAACTCCCCGAATTCCCCCACCCGCAATGCTGGCCGGGGGGAGTATTGGGGGTGAGGGCAACCAAAAAAAAAAATTT